GGGATTACAGGCATGTGCCACCATACCCAGCTAATTTTTGTATTTTTAGTAGAGACGGGGTTTCACCATGTTGGCCAGACTGGTCTCGAGCTCCTGATCTCAAGTGATCTGCCCACCTTGGCCTCCCAAAGTGCTGAGATTATAGGCGTGAGCCACCGTGTCCATCCTCCCCCATTGTTTTATACCTAAATTGGCCAAACTATTGTTTATAAATATTGAAAAATATTTGTTACACTTATTCAAGAAATAAGTACATTTCCTTTAAAATTAGGTGAGCTGCAACACTTCTGTATTCAATTGCAAGTTCTAGTCAGTGAACAAGGAAAGAAAAAGAGTATACGTATTTGAAAGAAACAAACCAAATTTTATTTATTTATGGATGACATACTGTATATATGGAAATTCCAGGGAGGCTACAAAAAAGGATAGTAGAAGTAGTAAGCTTAGCAAGGTCTCAGGATGCAAGGTCAATATAAAATATCAATTGCATTTACATCTTAATAACAAAAGATTGGAAATTAAAATAAAAATATCATTATTTAAATACAATAGCATCAAAAAATGTGAAAGAAGTAGGGATAATTTTAACAAAATATGTGAAAGAATTGTACACTGAAAACTACAAAAGATTACTTTTGTAGTAATCTTTTGTAAAATTAAAGCAGATCTAAATAAATAGGGAGATACACCATATTTATGGATTGGAGGACTCAGCATTGTTAAAGATATCAATTATTTCCAGACTGATCTATTAAGCCAATGCTATCTGAATAAAAATCAAAGCAGACTTTTTACTTCTTTTGGTGCAGATTAAAAAGTTCTTTAGAAATACGAAGAAGCTAGAATGGCCAAATAATTTTAACATACGTGAATAAAGTTAGAGGACTTACACTACCTGATTTCAAGATTTACTATAAAACTACAAAAATCAAGAGAGTGCAATATTGAAATTAGGTTAGACAAAAATTCATGAACAGAATAGAGGGTCCAGAAACCAGCCCATATACATAATCAGTTAATTTTATACAAAGGTAGTGATGTAAAAGGGAAAAGACAAGTCTCTTCACAAATGGCTTATATTCATGTGCAAAAACAAAACCTCAACCCTTAACTTGCACCATTAATTACACAAAAATTAACTTGGAAAAAAAGGGATCATAAACCTAAATGTATGAGTTAATCTTTAAAGTTTCTAGAAAAAAACATAGGGTAAACAAATCTTTGTGACTTTGACTTAAGCAAAGATTTCTTGAAGCAAAAAATATAAACCATAAAAGAAAAAAACAGATAAATTGAACCTCAACAAAATTAAAACTTTTTCTCTTTAAAAGACAGTTAAGAATATTAACTATCTCATAGTTAAGAAAATTAACTCTCCCATAGGCTGGGATAAAATTTTGCAAATCATATGCTGCATCCAGAATAAGGACTCCTTACAACTTTGTTTTGAGACAAGGTCTCACTCTGACATCCAGGCTGGAATGCAGTGGCGGGATCACAGCTCACTGCAGCCTTAACTTCTAGCCTCAAACTATCCTTCCACTTCAGCATCCCACCCCCACCCCTAGTAGCTGAAATTACAGGTGTGCGCCACCATGACTGGTTAATTTTTTTGTATTTTTTTTGTAGGGACGTGGTTTTATCATGTTGCCCAAGCTGGTCTTGAACTCCTGGGCTCAAGCCATCTGCCTGCCTTGGCCTTCCAAAGTGCTGGGATTATAGGTGTAAGCCACCACACCCAGCCTATAACTTAGTAAGATCATTGATTTAAAATGGACAAAAGATTTGAACAGATACTTTACAAAAGAATATGTATAAATGGCAAATAAGTATGAAAATATGCTCAATATCATTAGGAAAATACAAATTAAAACCACTTATTAGAATGACTAATATGACAACACCAAGTGTTGGTAGTAAGGATTGGGAAATACGAACTCATATACTGTTGGTGGCAATGTAAAACAGTAGAACCACTTCAGAAGAGTGTGGCGGCCTCCTTCTAAGTTAAACACGTGCTTACACATAACCCAGAAATCCTACTCCTAAGGTATTTACCCCAGAAATATTAAGATATATGTCCACATGAAGGCTTGTGCACAAATGTTTATAGTAGCTGTATCCATAATACACCCAAACTGAAAACACCATGAATGTACATTAACAATGGTAAATAAACAAATTGTGAAATACTCATACAATGAAATCTTAGGCAGTAATAAAAAGGAATGAACTACTGATCACATAATATGGATGAATCTCAAAACATGCTAAGCAAAAGAAGCCAGACACAAAAAAGTACATATGGATGATTCCATTTACATGAAACTCTAGAAAAGATGAATCTAATCTTTACGGACAGAAGCAGATGAGTGGTTGGAGTGTGTATGGGGTGTGTACTCATCCACTCCAAGTGGATGAGTGTGTATGGGGGATTGGATGGGGAGGGGCACAAAAGGAACTATTTTGGGTGATGGAAATGTTCTATACCTTGATGTGGTGGTGGTGACATGGGTATATACATTTGTTAAGCCTTATAGAACTGTACACTTAGAATGCATTTTATTTTACATAAAATATACATATAATTTTATTGTACATTAAATTATACCTTAATAAAGTTAACTTAAATGAAAAAAAAAAGAGTGACAGAACCATTTCATTTTTCCCTCTGAAAATATTCTTTCCTTTTAGACTTCCAAAGGCAACTCCACAAGTCAACTTGGTGGGTAAAATAGCTGTGTGACACTGGATAGGCAAATTCCTTTATCAGTAAAATTAGTGAATTAGAATAGATGACTTCATTTGTTCATTCAATAAACATTTACTAAAGCCTATTATGGGGCAAACACAATGCTAGATTCTAGAGATATATGGCTGAAAAAGAATCCAATTTTGTCCTCAAGGAGTCACAGTACAGTGGGAGTGAGGACAAGCTAACTTGATTATAATACATCTCATGTATATGTAGGGATTGAGGATTCATAAGAGAAGCAGTCTTCCCTGATGATGTAACACCTGAGATGCGTTTTGATGTACAAGTAAGAGTTAGGTAAAGAGGGAAGAGAAGGCATTCTAAGCAGAGGAAGCCATAAGGGCAAAGGGCTAAAGGCAAAATATGTACCTTGTATTAGGTACTTCGAGTAGTTCAGTAGGTCTGAAATATACAATTTATCCTTGTAAGGTCATGGTTGTGTCTTGATTAGAAGAAGTTAAAATATATACTACTCTAGTTTGAGCAGTGTGTAGACAGGAGTTCTATACCAAATAATGATACCCCTATTATTGTGCATCACCTAAAAGGAAAATAACTGCCATCAATTACGATCCTTTTTGTTGCAAAGAAAATCCTTTGGGTCTTGTAAAAAAAACAGTTCAGAGGTTGACTGATGCAGCACGATCTGGGGATCAACAAGGCCAAATATGCAGCTTTTCCTTCTCTCCATTCCTAGACTGCAGCAGCTACACACCCTACATTCTTTCTTTTTCATATCTAGCTTCCCTGAAAGATTAAACCAAAGCTTCCTAATTAAGTTTCACTAACTTCCATTGGTCTCAGATTTTGCGTTGGTCCTGAAGCAATCCCCTTGGCCAGAGGAACAATACATGGTGACTACTTGGCTAGGACCCAGAGGTCCTGGGGATGCAAGTCAGCCTCACCTGATGCACATGGGGAAGGGGTAGATCGCTAAAGAAAAATCAGAGCATTTGTGGAAGAAGGAAGACTAGATACAAAAGAGAAATTATGTTTTATAGAAAACAGATCCTAACAATTTCTGAGTAGGTCAAGGGATACAGACATATATGGACAAATTTCTGCTTGCATCTTCCACATTTAGGACAGACAAGTCAATGAAAACTGCCTTCAGAATAAAATAACAAAATCAGAACACATATCCAAAAAGCTATCAGTTAATACTATAAGCATCACATGAGTGGATGAACAGTTTTATGAGAACAAGGAGAAGGGCATAATTAATTTAATTTACAGGTTCCATGGTATCTTCACAACAGAGAAAATTTTTGAGGGAGGCCTTGAGAAATGGAGAAGATTTTGGCAGAAACAAAATGAAGAGCCATATCTGGTTGAGAATCAGCATGGAACCCAGTGAGGCTGAAGTACAGGATAATGGGTCACTGTGGGAACATAAGAATGAAAAGGCCAAGCGATGAAAACTTTTTCCTGTTATGCTACAGAGCCTAGCCTTTATCCTTTAGGCAATGAGAAGTTGTTGAGTTTTTGAAGCATAGAAGTGGCACAATCAAATCTGCATTCAGAGAACTATAGGACTAGACTAGACTAGACACTTCTTAATGCAAGAAGGAAGGAGATAAATCTGGGGGGAGAGATAAAGCTAAATTCTGAAATAGAAGGCTGAGACAACTCAAGCTTAATGGTCTCTATTTTCCCTGCAAAATAGGAGGAGAGAGTACATACTGAGTGTGGGGTGTTGCGAAGTTAAGACAAGCTGGAAATTTCAATTAGCCAGAACACTGCATTACCAAAGCATTCTCAACAAAACCATTATTCAATAAACTCTTCCATACTATAAAGTCATAACGTATCACATTAGCGGGTGAACTGACATCCTGAAGAACCGCCTATTAGGCTACACCAATGCCAGTGTATCACTATTCACTCCAATCTTTGTAATCACTGGCAGAGCAGTTGTGAAGGGGGTGTCAGGGGTTGGGAGGAGATGGCACAGGAGGATGCAAGAGAAAGGAAGTCAAATGAGGGAGCCTAAGGAGGCGTGGTTAAAGATGGAGTGGACAGGTCTGGCGTGGTCACTCACGCCTGTAATCCCAGCACTTTGGGAGGCTGAGGCGGGTGGATCACTTGAGGTCAGGAGTTCGAGACCTGGCTGGCTGACATGGTGAAAACCCGTCTCTACTAAAAATACAAAAGATCAGCCAGGTGTTATGGCGCATGCCTGTAGTCCCAGCTACTTGTGAGGCTGAGGCAGGAGAGTCACTTGAACCCAGGAGGTGGAGGTTTCAGTGAGCCGAGATCGTATCACTGCACTCCAGCCTGGGTGACAGAGCCAGATTGCGTCAAAAAAAAAAAAAAAAAAAAAAAAAAAAGCGTGGGTAAGGCAGCCCGATGACCCTCAGTGCAGTGTTTTAACAAGCAGCCAAGAGTAGTGCTTGGCAGAGAGGGGTCTGGGGAAGCAGCAAAGTGGGTGGTTGTCAACCAAGTCTGGCTTTGGGATTCAGATTTAGATCTACTGCCTAGAGCCACCTGTTTCAAATGAAAGGATCTGCTATGGCATGGTCCATTCATTTTTACAGACAGAGTCTTAAATTATCAGGTTAAATGATAGAAATGCTAATGAAATTGTGCAGTCTTCATCTATCATCTTCTACTACTTGTCCTTAAAACGTCATATACAAACTAAGTACCAACAATATCCTTCATTTGCTTGGTGCTTTGCAGTTTTAAAAATTACTTTCAAATATAGTATTTTCTTATTTGGTCCTACAGGTCCTTACCTACCTGTAAGGTAAATGGAGCAGATACAATAATTTCCTACCATTTGTTACCAGTCCCTCAACCCCAATTACAGGTAAGAGAGCTTAAATTATCTAGGAATTTACAGGAGGACCAAAATTCCCCCATCTGAGGACCAGAATTCTCCAGTCTAGTGTACTACACTATTACATTGCCTCTTTAAAAAAAGCTAATGCATATTCCCCTAAAGAAAAAAGTCAAAGATGGGCATATCTGTATGCACGTGAACCAGATCATTTAAAACTCACTCTCTTCCTAATATTTAGCCATTTTCTGAGTAGATAATAGTCATGGGTGTGTGCTTTTCCTGTCAATTAATGTACATTCGGAAACAAAGAATGGCAAAGCATAGGATTATAACCGCATCACCTTCAAAAGCAATAAAATGGGGTTTATTAAGAATCAATCGTGGAATAAATTATTATTCAGCTCTTAGGAAATCAACAAGCATTTTTCCTAATATATACTGCCAAAATAAAAGATTCATAAAATACATTTGGGTAAAAATAAAATTCTAGGCAATCAATAAGAGTATCAATCTACTGATTTAGTTTTAGTGAAGTGATCAGCATCTTAAATTTGAAACTAAAATCAAAGGACAATAGCTTTCGGACTTTTTCCCCCACATACTTTTTCCTCCATATTACAGAAATGGTAGGTCTTTAGGAAGTAATATAAAATAAGACCCTTCACTTATAATAAAGCCCAAAATAAGGCTGATGCCTTGCATAATGTCTGCAGTTTAGAATGAATGCCTACTACCTACTTTTAATCTCTCTCAGGGGCTCTGCCCCAGAAGTATACCTTGTGAAACCAAGCTTCAGCAAAAGTGAATGTGGTTTTGACTCCTCATTCTCTTGGGTGTCTTCCTTGCATAGTTACAAAGTAACAGAAGCTGGCAACAGGCCTTGGCAATGTCAAGTCTTCTAAGCAAGAGAAGGAAGGTTGAGAAGTGAAAAGGGATCAACTATAATTTTCTGACTTTCAGAGAGTCAAGCATAAAATATTGCTAGACGGAGACAACTGTATTCGACCTTCCCCAGTAGAGATGTTTAAAGAGAGAAATAAAATGGAGAGAAATGTAGAAAATCCCTGGGGTGTAAAAAGTTGCTTAAAACATCATTTAAGCAACTTTTGAATTCCTACTTAAAAACATTATCTTTTTCAAGTGTTCTCATACCCTACTCCACCCCTGGCTCTGAGTGAAGAGCAATTTATGAGACAAAACAATACATTATCTAGAGATAAATTTATAAACTGACATAAAAGAATTATCCAAGAAGCTACATTACCTCTTGAAGTTTATTACAGTATCTTTAGTTCTTATTGCATATATTATTACATGCCATTTACAAGTCAGGATTATATATATATTATAATATTACATATATAATGCTCAATTTAGCAGAAGTTGTGTTTATTGCTTCTCTCTTGAAAATCAGCAGCATGCGATGCAATATTTGGTGCAGAGTTATTGTTTCAAAAAGTGAGAAACTACTTAGGTTTAACTGAAGAGGGAACATGATCTTTATTGGCTTATATGCAAAGTTTCATTTTGGTTTTATGCAGAGTTTGCATAGTTCATGATTTGTTTCTAATGAAAAACTAGATGTGTTGTCAGTGACTGTGAAGAAGATCAGGTGACAGTAGCAAACAGAAAAATTTGAAGAAGAGGCATTACTTTTAAAGTAGAAAGGTCAGCAAGAACTGCCTGAAACAAAAAATAAAAAGAATTATTAATGGCAAAGCGAAGTCTATGAGATAAGGTAAACATAATTACTATGTAATTTTGACACTAAGCTCTTCTTTGGATTTGTCCTAAATCTTAGTACTAAAGCTACAACTTTCCTTCTCTTTTCAGAATATCTTAATGGTAGTACATGTGCAAAATGCTAAAACGTGCTGCAGAAAATAACCTGGATGTTAGCCTCAGTCTTCTTCAAATATACAAGGTAGCAAGAGTTTATAACAGGTTTAACATTTCAACTTGCTTCTATAAATAAGCGTACATTATGATTCCTAGTCCTGTTATTCTAGTGTAAGGACTGAGTGACTGCAGGAAGTCATTTTGAGATGGAACTAATGTTTATTCAGTTGCAAGATGCATAAACATCCTCTTCCCTTTAAACAAAAATGCAGGCAGCTATTTTAAGGAAAAATTTATATTTCTGTGAAAGATAACAAATAGAATAATACAGTAAGCACTATTTAATTGAACCATATTTCAGGTATAAATTATATCACTGAAAAGAAATCAGCTTTAAATAATTAACTCACAATTTTAAATAACCAAAAAAGCCCATGTATCTTCACTATATCACCCAAATACATGCTCTTTAACTCTCTCAAGTAGTTTTCCTTCTGTGAAAATAATGCATCGACATGAACAATAAAAAAATGCAACATAAACCCCAATTGTTTCTACTAAAATTACCAGGTATCTGGTTTCCCATATGGTTATAATGGTTTCCTATAATAATCTTGTTTATTACTCCTTCATAAGAAGACTTTTCTCAAGTAATTAAAGAAATTTGAATCCTTAAGTATTATTAGCTCATAACTTAACAGGTTTTACCCGAGTTAAAAAATCTGGCTGCAAGTAATGCGTGTCCTATGCATCAGACACTAAAATGACAGCCTGGCAATCCCTCAGAAACTATTTCCATCCCATCTGAGTGAAACTTATCCTCACTTCAGCTGCAGCCAGTGATGTCACCTCCATCAGGTTCACTGCTCGGAAAGCAAACACGGCAGCTGCCAGCACTGGAAAAGAATGCACACTATTTCAACTGTTCGTCTACTCATCAGCCCGGCACGGTTACTGTTATGCTATGCCCAAAACCCACTGCATGGAAATTCAGAACTAGTGCTTTACACAACCGACCACATCCCCGCATTCTGAGTTAAGGTCTTATGATGAACAGAAATTGTCTGCTCTAAAGAACAGTGACTGATGGCCAGACAAACTGAACACCACAGTTTTGAGAAAAAGAAAAATTCAGTGTTCTTTAAAAAGGCCATTTTAAAAGTTATTTCTTTCAAATCTACAACTTAAACCATTTTAAAATGGCATGAAGATCTAATGAGTTGTGTTTTTTTTTTGTTTTTTTGTTTTTGTTTTTGTTTTTTTTTTAATAGAGATAAGGTCTTACTATGTTGCCTAGGCTGGTCTTGAATTCCTGGGCTCAAGTGATCATCCTGCCTCACCCTCCCAAAGTGCTGGGATTACAGGGGTGAGCCACTATGCCTGGCCTAATGACTGTCTTACGGATTAAGGTTTATTTTGGTGCAGGTATTTCTTCCTAATGTAGTAGAGAGGCTTCTGAAATGTTATATGGAGGCTGAATTTTTAAATAGATTATGTTTCATATGTACCAAGGAAATGTCCTGATAGAAATGTGGCTTTAAAGCCTTTTCTTAAAAAATATTTTTATAATTTTTCGTTAAATTTTTATACACAACACTGAATTTCTTAAGAGTTTCACAAATGGATATATCTGTATGGAGGGCTGCTGTGGGATTGATATTGACATTTAATTTAATGTTGGCTACAGGAAAAAAGAAGTGAAACTTCAAAAAAATCCAAACATTACAAGACAACTTAAAGATCAATAATATACATTAAGTAGAAAACAACACTGGAGGCCAGGCATGGTGGTGCACACCTGTAGTACCAGCTAACTGGGAAGCTGAGGCAGGAGAAGTGTCTTGAGCTCAGGAGTTTGACAGCCTGGGCAACATGGCAAAAACCTGTCTCTTAAAAAAAAATTAAAAATAACATTTGGATTATTGTTTCCATTAAACATATGCACATGGAAAAAGAGCAACGCTAACATGCAAAACTTATATAACCTACCATAAAACTCCATGTGAGGGAGTGAGTCATAAACAATAGAAGGACCCATTTAAAAGGCAGGTGACCCTGACAAGGAGATGGTACTGCTTGGAGTTAACTCTTGACTTACCTCCTTTTCTCTCCATCACCAGTGATGGTAGTGGATTCTCTACCCAACAAGTCATTGAAGTTTAGGAAATTAATGGTAAGAAATATTCAAAATACTGGGCACAGTGACTCATGCCTGCAATCCCAGTACTTTGGGAGGCTGAGACAGGAGGATTGTGTGAGCCTAGGAGTTGAAGACCAGACTGGAAAACAAAGCAAGACCCTGGTCTCTACAAAAAATTTAAAAAATAAGCCAGGCATGGTGGTGCATGCCTGTAGTCCCAGCTACTTGGGAGACTGAGGCAGAGGAATGCTTGACCCAGGAGTTCTAGGCTGTAGTGAGCTATGCTTGTGCCACTGCGCTCTAGCCTGGGTAACAGAGTGAGACCTTGTCTCAAAAAAACAAAAAACAGAAAACAAAAAAAATGAAAAAGAAATATTCAAAATTATTTGGAAGACTGGTTCCTAGGTATAGTGCATACCTAATGCAAACACATATATTTTTTAAAATACATTTTTACAAAGAGAATAAGTAATTCTCATACCAATTCTGTGAGTTAAATACTATTAATAGCCCATTTTACTAATATAGAGAGTGAGGCATAGTGAGTGGGGTGACACGTAGAAAATAGTAAAGCCAATACTCAACCTTGGCTCTGGAGTTGTGCATCTAACCACTATGTGAAGACACTATTGAGGCTGAAAGTAAGCAGCAACCACTCATCTCTGACATGATAATCTGTGTGCTTTCCTAAGAATCATTGGCTCTGCTGTCTATCAGAATGACTTTCCAGAGATGGCATGAAGGATGCTGCTACAGTGGTCCTGGTCATTGTGCCTGAGGAACAGAAGTCAGCAGCAAGGCCTCTTAATTTCCCCAGATAAAGGCCAAGTGCAACCAGTGACTGGGAAGCACAGGCACTTTTCTAAGGGACAAGAGATTTCGGACAGTCGGGCAAAAAAGCATTAGAACTCCTTAGAGAGAAAAATTCTGGAGAAAAAGATGGGAATGGTAAAATTTTAAAAAGTCAAGTCAGCTGCAGTCAGTGAATATGTAACAGGAGATACAAGAGATCTGCAACAAAGGATTTACTCCTTAACTGAAATGGAGAAAACATGAATACTTTAAAGTCACTGAGTTTCATGTTTACAAGAATATCAAAGAAAACTATTTCTGTAGACCAGCAATTTTTTACAGCTTCCTAATATCTGGAATAATATTTTGTATAGTGCAGGCATTTTAGCCATTAAAGAATATGATTACTACTTCCTTTTTTGTATATAATTGACCATAGTTGCTGAAAGCTTGACAGGCTGGCCAAATTTTCTGCTCCAGCAGGAAAGAGTTTTACATAGTGGAAAACTGTTTCTCCAAAGGTAGATAAGAAGGGGAAAAAGAGCAGTTCACTAATTGACCTCAGCATCCAAAATGCTTATGTGCTCATAACCTTTATTTATCTTGGTGTCACATCACAGAAGTTCCTTTCCATCTGCTTCATGTTTGGTTTGCCCAGCCCTTCCACAGGACAGACTTGTTTGCCAAGGGAGGAAAGGTCTACACTTTGGGATATTTTCAACTGAAATTATGCTTCATTTGAAATATAGAGGCTCTAGTATTTTCTTTTGGTCTTATTACTTTAATTCTAAGCAATTCTATCAAGAACATTAAGATAACTTTGCTTTAAACTGTTCTTCAAAAGGCTCTAATTAATTCACAATTAAAGCCAGTGACATTTATGAAAACATTTCTCAAGACTGCATAGTAACCCACTTGATCAGAAAAACGTGGTTCCAAAATACTTATACCAAAGGTATATGAAATAATCAAAACTAATTTGTATACATTTACATGAAATTATTTACCCTGTGGTTCTTTATCTGAATTCCATGGTAGGGGAGCTTCCTTCAGTCTAGTTCCATTTCTAGATGTTCCAGAATTCTTCCCTGTAGATTTTTTTAAAGCACTCAGGGAAAATGGGTGGAAGCAATAATGCAGACTACATTTCTACCTATTCTTCAGTAACCTTTTCATTAATTGTTGAGCTCACAGAAGAGTACCTGGCTTAGAGCAAATACAGTATTCAACATACATTTATTTCTCTGTTCCTTCAGTTTGCTAAGGGGTGATAAGGCACAGAATGAGAGAATTTAAATAGAAAGAGGGCTTGAAGGTTTTCTAATTCAACATTTCTTTCAAGGTATGAAACCTCTTGACCCTTCACATCACAGTTAAAGAACCCATTCTACTTTTTGAAAGTCCTAATTATTAAAAAGTATTTTCTTATACTGAGCCCTCCTTTTAAACATGCTTTAATGTCTCTTTAAAATGATACTGAGTGCTACACACAGTACCCTTCAAATTTTCTGGTACACTCAGAGGACAGACATTTGGTTAAAAGTCTACAATTCTCTCACTTGAGAAATGACAGGAGAAAACAAGGCTACTTAGCTTGGAAAATAGAAGACTTTGGGGACAGGCAAAAATGTGAGAGTAGAGAGAACATGATAATTACCTTGGTTTAACAGGAGTACATTTTAACGAGCCATATTATCCAGAAATGAAATGGGCCACCAGGTAAGGCAGGGATTGCCCAATACTGAAGTGTCCCAACAGAGGATAAGAACAGCTCGTAAACAATGTTTAGAAAAAGTTATACTCAACAATCTTGAGGATTCCTTCTCTTGCTAGATTATATATGCTACTGCTATTCAGCCAAAAGAAATGAGGGCAGACCATTATTTCCTAACTCATATTTGTACAGGTTTTTTTAAAAATTGAGAGAGAAGAAAACTAGAAGTTGCTAAAAATATTAATCAGTGATATCTCTCATTATACCAGGGTAACTATCACCCAGGGACATATGCTACCCAGTATCTGTAACTATAGACTTCTCAGCATTCAAGAATATGTGAAGGCTGGGCGTGGAGGCTCACACCTGTAATCCCAGCACTCTGGGAGGCCAAGGCGGGTGGATCACTTGAGGTCAGGAGTTTCAGACCAACCTGGCCAACATGGTAAAACCCTGTCTCTACTAAAAATACAAAAATTACCTGAGTGTGGTGGCAGGCACCTGTAATCTCAGCTATTCAGGAGGTTGAGGAGGGAGACACACTTTAACCCAGGAAGTAGAGATTGCAGTGAGCCAACATTATGCTACTGTACCCCAGCTTGGGCGACAGAGTGAGAGTGTCTCAAAAAAAAACCAACCAAACAAACAAAAAAAACCCGAATATGTTAATATGGTACCTAGAGAATCTTCCTATCATATTCTTCTTCAACTAAGCTTTATTTCCACAGCAGCCCAGAGAGGTGATTTTATAATGCTATCAATTTAATGTATGGAAACATTCTGCCAACTTTTTTGATTCCTATCTATTGTGAAAACATTTTAATTATTATTTGAATATCCTGATAATCTCAATAATAAAATAATTGAGTCTATTGTGTACAAGGGAAGCAAAATAATAGAATTAATTAGAAATATATGCCCTCTTTGTAATCATATAATTGCCTTGGGCATACATCTGTTGTAAGAACTGCTTAATTATTAAATAAAAGATAAATTTGTGACTTCCTGAAAAAAAGATGAAATAGTTTTTGGCCTGAGAGAATAAAAGGGGAAACTCAGCCACCAGGGAGGAAGTCAGAGACTGTTAGCAAAAACGAAAAGGTTTTAACTTCTTTTATAAACAGACACAGAAGAGCTGAGGTTTCAGCCATGCAGGAGGCTTAGCCTCAGTTTGGATCTTAGGTGTTGAGATGGGGCAAAGAACAGACTGCTAAGGTAGCAGGGGAGTCCAGAGGAGAAGGGAAGTATATCTACACTCTGCTGCACAGACCTCATAGGTGCTGGGAGATAGTGAGACCTAGCTGGACTAAAAGGGGAGATGGAAAGGGAAGGGAAAATGTACTTTCCTGGGAGCTGGGAAGAAAGACTAGAAGTAGGCTGGTATTGTGCAGTTACATAAAAATATCAAGACTGCAGTTTTTGTTGGTACTTATCTTCAAAGCCAGATATATCTATTAATTGTTCATGCATTAGAAATGACAAATAAATTCCAGTTACAGGTGGTGAATGTTAGGAAGAAAAGGGACCTTATTATAGAAACAGCACGTGTTTTACAAACAAGCATTTACTCTTACCAGCAAGAATTTCCAGAGAGTTGTATCCTAGGATTCTATCCCATAAAAGCAAGAGCTGATCTGTAGCTAAGTATCCAGAGAAAGCTCGAACCATCCACTTAAATGATATACGAAGTCTATAAGCAAGGAAAAATAAAAATTAATTTACCACTGAAATTTTCTTATGAAAATGCAATATCAGAAGAACTCAACCAATTCTATTGTTAAGGTAACTCTTTGAAGAGTCTTAGAAATAACCTGGGCATTTAAAACTTAAGTACTTTCTTGAAAGCTGCAAAAGTGCAGTGATGAGAAACCATAAGTCCTCAAATTAGTGGTCTCAAAGTATTAAGAGGAAGAATTACACATGCTGGGTCCTCCTTTATTCTAGAAGTCAGCCTTTATAAAACCCACTTCTATATTCTGTTTTTTAGAGTGTATACTACTTAGCTATCAATGAGCTGACCTTCTGATAGTCTTAATTCCAGGCAATTCAAAATAATTTGAATTTTTATTCAAAATACTTGAAAGATTATTCAATGCCTTCATATTTTCTCAATTTAATAAATTATTTTCTACATTTCAGTCAAATGGCTATATAGGATGAATAAAATAAAATAACAAGTATAAGGACAAAAATAGTTTTAAAGCTATGAGACATTAGAAACAGATTTCTGATTTCAAACTCTTCATTTTAGTTAGGAGGTTATAGAACTCTGAAAGATCAGCCAGAAAATTCAATTAAATTCTATTTCACTAAAAAAATTCAAGATGTATGAGATCTCACTACTTACAAGTAGGTTATGTTACAATAACAATTTATCTCTGAAATCAGGAAATGAACTCTTTGGCCCTGGTGCCTCAAGAGATCAACTAGTTCCTCACATTTCTGTATTATCTATTAGCATCTAATATCATTTGACTGTCCCTGACAGGTGCTAGCCAAATTGCTTGCTGGAATTATCATATTATGTCAATAAACATCTGTGCTATTCTCTTAAAGGACAGAAAAGGACCCAGAGGTTGCCTTGGTTGGTGTCACTGTATTAATTATCTTAAGACTGAAAAAGATCCTCAAGTTTCAGAAATTCCTCAATACTGTCTAACTATTGTTCTAATATAACAAAGTACATGTAGGCACTAGTATTGACTAATTAAGCTTTTTGGGTGGTTTAGGATATCTCTTTATATATACAAAAGAAACTTTGGGCCACTGGAATTTTAATAACTTACAAAATACATTTGAATTTAAAGTCAAAATTATTAACTTCAGCTAGCTTCATTTTACTCAAATTCTCATAGTGTCACATTTGAGGAATAGTGCCACACATCCCCACCCACCAATATAGAAATACCATAGCATAGCTTTTTAGAAATAAAGTTTATTGTGCTATAATTTATGTACAGTCGTCTCCCCATGGTTTCACTTTCTGTGGTTTCAGTTATCCATAGCCAACTGTGGTCACCAACAGTCCAAAAATATTAAATGAAAAATTCCAAAGATAATCCATAAATTTAAAATTGTGTGCTGTTCTGAGTAGCCTGGTGAAAGCTCGCACGGTCCCACTCTAGACATGAATCATCACTTTGTCCAGTGTATCCATGCTGCACATGCTACCCACACGTTAGTCACTTAGAAGCTGCATTGGTTATCAGGTTGACTGTCCTGGTATCACAGCGCCTGTGTTCAAGTAACCCTTATTATTATTATTTTTTACTTAATAATGGCCCCAAAGAGTAAGAGTAGTGATGCTTGCATATTGTTATAATTGCTCTATTTTATTATTAGTTATTGTAAATCTCTTGCTGTGCCTAATTATAAACTGAACTTTATCATAGTTATGTATATATAGGGAAAAACATCATGGTGTATATATAGGGCTCAGTACTATCCACAGTTTCAGGCATCCACTGGGGGTCTTGAAATGTATCTCCCACAGATAAGGGGAAACTACAGCATAGTAGAAATTACCCTTATTAGTGTACAGTTCAATATGTTTTGTATGAAGAACCAGATGAAAATTGTAGAACTGAAAAACCACACAAAAACATCTCACTAGATGGGATCTAATAGTAAAACGAAAATGATGGAGGAAAGAGACAGAGAATTTGACTATAGATCAGTAGAAAATGTTCAATCTACACCATACAGAAAAAGAATTAAGAAAAAGTGAAAAATACTTAAAGCCAGGAGTTTGAGACCAGTCTGAGCAACAAAGCAAGAACCTGTCTCTATGGAAAAAAAAAAATAGACCTGCAAGGACTTGTGAGAAAATAATAAACTTAATTTTTCTTCATCTTCTTTTTTTCTTTTATATCAAAAGTTTCAACATTTGTGTCACTGGAATCCCAGAAGAAAAGAAGAATGAGTATGGTGCACAAAAAAATATTTAAAGGAATAATGGGTCAAAACTTCCAAATTTGTCAAAAGACATAAACTTATAAATTCAAGCTTAGCAAACTCCCAAAAGGATAAATCCAAAGAAATCTATGCCTAGATATAGAATAATCAAAGTGGTGACAACTGAAAACAAAAATCTTGATAGTAGCCAGAGAAAAATAAGGATTGATATCATTTCTTCCTAAAGTGCTTGGTAGATTTTGCCAGTGAAGCCATCTAGGCCTGAAATTTATTTGAAGGTAGAATGTGATTAATTAAAGAAGTATATTGGCTAGGTGCAGTGGCTCACGCCTATAATCCCAGCACTTTGGGAGGCCAAGGCAGGCAGATTGCCTGAGGTCAGGAGTCCAAGACCAGTCTGGCCAACATGGTGAAACCCCATCTCTACTAGAAATACAAAAAAAAAATTAGCCACGCATGGTGGCATGCACCTATAATCCCAGCTACTTGGGAGGCTGAGGCAGGGGAATTGCTTGAACCAGGGAGGTGAGGTTGCAGTGAGCCGAGATCGCGTCACTGCACTCCAGCCTGGGCGACAGAGCAAGACTCCATCTCAAGAAAAAAAAAAAAAAAGAAGAAGTATATTGTAAACCTCATGGCATCCATCAAAAACATACTTTAAAAAGTATAAAAATCTAATAGTGGAGATAAAATGGAATAAAAAAATGTTCAATTCAAAAGTAGGCAGAGAATGAGAAAAAAGGAATAAAGAGAACATGGAACAACTAAAAAAATTTAGAAAGATAGTTGATTTCAATTCAATAATATCAATTATATTAAATATAAATGGTATAAACATACCAATTAAGAAACAGACTGCCACATAGGAAGACCCAACTATACTTTCAACAAGAAACCCACTTAAAAAAAGATATTGATAATATGTTAAGTAAAAGAACAGAAAAGAATGTATCATGCAATTATAATTTTAAAAAAGCTGGAATGGTTATATTAATATCAGACATAGTAGATTTATTACTAGGAATAAAACAGGACATTATATAATAATAAAGTGATCAATTCTCCTAAAAACAAAGCATCAAAATACATGAAGAAAAAAACAAATACAGCACTAAAGGAAGACAGAGACAAAATCCACAATTATAATTAGAGCCTTTCACATTCCTCTTTCAATAATCAATAGAAAAAGTAGACAGAAAATTAGTAAGTGTATACAAGGTTTGAACATCATTATTAACAAACTTGATTTCCTTGACATTTATATGACATTCTGCCCAATACTTGCAGAATACAAAGTTTTTTCAGGTGCACATGGACCAAGACAGATCATGTTCTGGATCCAAAAACAAACTTCAACACATTTAAAACAACTGAAATCATATGAAGCATGTTGTCTAACTGCAACAGAATTAAAACAGAAATAAACGAAGAAAGATATCTTTTCAAATATTTAGAAATTAAACAACATACTTTTACATAACCCATATTCAAAGAGGAAACCACAGGAGAAATTACAAAACATTTCTAATTAAATAAAAATGAAAATATAACATATCAAAATTTGTTGGGTGGAGGTAAAGAGGTAATTTGAGGGATATCTGTAACATTAATGCTTATATTAGAAAAAAAAGAGAGGTCCCCAAATCAATGATCTAACTTCCACCTCAAACAAGCAGAAAGACAAGAGCAAAATAAATCTAATGCAAGCATAAAGAAGAAAATAATAAATATGAGTAGAAATAAATCGAAGCAGAAAAACAACAGAGAAAAAGAATCAATGGAACAAAAAACTGATTCTTTCAAAGACGAATAAAATTGATAAACCTGTAGCCAGAATAATCAAGAAAAAATGGCAGATTACAATTACTAATACCAGGAATGACAAAAATGATGTCACTACTAACCCTAGAAATATTAAAAAGGCTAAGCATAGAGAATAGTATGAATAACTTTGTTTATAAATATGATAACCTAGTAAAAGACATAAACTACTGAAGCTTATTCAAAAAGAAATAGATAACCCAAGTAGTCCTGTATCTATTAAAGAAATTAAATTCAAAGTTAAAAAGCTTCCAAAAGCTTTAGTTTTTTAAAAAATGATTTCTACCTTGACAATTAGAATTTTTACAATTTTCCTACATAGGAATTTTAATGTTTATCATGTCATTGAAATAAATTTATTTCTTTTAATAAGTAAAGTATATAAATAGGCTAGAAAAAATATCATTTTAGTTTCTAGTAATGAACTAAATGTCTTCATCCTAGTAAAGAAAACCCTACTTATACTCCAATGTTCATTTCACAATAGCATAAAGAAGTCAATTTACTACAAGTTTAAGAATGAAAGTCTTATGCTCATATAAAATACTTCTGAATCATCAATAGAATTTTATTTTTTAATGGCTACAAAGGAAAGGGTATCCGCTCAGTATTATCAGTGGATGATATGAGGTATTATTTTATAAAGGCCATCTCTAAGATGGCTGAAATTCAATGGTACTTTATAAAAACGAGATTATATACCTATCTATCTCTATCTCCATCTTGATTGCTATCTCCATCTTTATAATCATTCAATCTTTAAACAACTCTGCAAGGTACTAATTCTCTTGATTTTTAAGATAAATAAACTGAATTATCTTAACATAAAGAAATTGAGGCTTTGATAAATTAAAAAACTTCACCAGGATTACAAAGCTTAACAGAAATGGAATTTGAATCTGGATTAAATTTCCACCCACTCAGCTATCTATTTGCTATGGATTCAATAGTGGAGAAGACAAATACTATACGATTCTATTTCCCACTAACTTCTTTTGTGGCCTCAAGGAGTTAATACTTTTTTCAAATATACCCTCTTTAATAGGAGAAAATAGCTGCACAGATAAGACAGTAAGAAAACACTGATAAATCATTTGGAAATTTCTCTTGCTTTAGACACCGTTATTTTAAAAGAGAGAGAGAGAAAACCAATAATCTTGAAGTCCAGAGATACTATACATATTCACTTATAACTCATACTGCGACCAATGAACAAAATTCAAATTTTAGGAAGGAGAAATCAGTGTACAACCATTAATAGGTACCTGATTTGCTTTCCTTTAACAAAAGACAGCCAACTTGAACTTCTATAGTTTTCATAGGTAATTCTCTGATAACTGTGGCCTATACTGACTTAAGTTTGGTATGATCACATTTTTCAGGTATTATTTGTTTCCACAAATGTTTGCTTCAGTTTTGGCTGACACCTTTCATTACGAATAGAAATTCGTTTATTTTGGTGACTCTTGTACCAGACACAAAAATCCTAGTAAAGAAGACTTTGTTAGGATTTTGGTAATTCTTTCAAGAATTTTTGGCACAATGTCATTACAATTTACTACTTGATAATTATAGTTTTATTAGGAAAATTGTTAGCTTAATTTCTCTGAAAAATTACATCTTTGCAAGTGCTCTACAAAGAAGACAAAAGAGCTTTCTGTGAAACTATCTATTCTTCAATTAGGAGAGAAAAGTACTCACGGTTGAGCCCCAATTTCTCGTAGATGATAAAAGAGTTGGGGAAGGTAAGTTTGAAGAAGAGTTTCAAACAGCAGACAGAGTGACACAATACCCTAGATATAATAATGAATCATAAGAGAAATAGATATTTTAATATTTAAAAATTAACTATGCCAACAAATTATTCAAATGGAAAATGAGAAAGACTATCAACATAAATATTCTTTATACTGTTTAAGAGTCAAAAACAGGAAATGTATTAATGGCTCTCTAACATTGTGTTTAAACATAAACTTTATTTCTCTTTATTTATACTCACACATACAGATATGCTAAGGAGCCTCCCTTTTCACACAATATGCTCCCCACATAAACCAGTATGTAATATATGGAGAGTCCAAGGAAAACATCACCTTACAAAAAACTTGCCACTTTGCAAGCCACGTATTATTACTTAACCTCAGCAAAATTAGCTTTTATCTGAATGCATTCCAGTTTCCAGTTATTTCCCTAGTGCTATATAGCCACCTTCATTCTCCCTCCATATGTCCCTTCCCCTCCAGCCTCACTCACTAGGGAAAACATCGCCTGCTTTTCTCACTCTTTCTTTGAAATCTACCCCCAGGAAAAGACTAGCAGCTAGCTGCTTGAAATTTGCATCAGGAAATTATTGAGCAAGAATGTTTGATTACTTAGTATACACATATTTTTTTAAAACTAAAATCTATTGTTTTTAAAAGGGCATTATTTGTGAAGTACAAAACTTAATCAATTTAAGCAGATGGTTTTTCAAGTACATTTATTATTTGACAACTCTGAATAAAGTCTTTCTTGCAGCTTAGCATTCCTCAGAGTTGATCTTTGTAAGGAATTTTTAATCCTCTTTTTGCATTTCTAAAGAAAAAAAGACTGTCATGGTTCCAAATAATTCAGTCTGGCTGCAAGCCAAAAAAGGAGGTGACTGCCTGTAAGTTTTCACTCCACTGAATCAAAAAAAAAAGGACAGGGGCAGGACTGACTCAATCAATTCACTGAAAAAGGATACCCAGGGCCACCAGCACAGAGATAAAGAAGAAATACCCAGAGTTGCCCAGTGCCAGGCTTCAGTGCTCTGCACAGGGAGAACACCATGGGTATGTACTATGCAGCCAGTTTTTTTAAACTCTGAAGCATAAAATGGCATAGAATATGAGAGTAAAAATACAATACTTAGAATGAGTATTAGAAAAGAATTACTGATCTTAATTATTGGTCATATTTCTGATTATTCCAGATTAAATATTAAGGTAAGATAAGAACAAAATCAAGTTCTCTTAGAAATAAGAAACCCAAGATAACTGGTGTTGCTTCATTTGTTTATCTGTGACATCCTGGAATTCTGTGATTTGCCAACTTTCACTAGCAATGTATGAGAGCAAAACTGGAGATGGAGGAAGGTGAAATAGGAATACATAACCTTAGAATGGGGGGATAAAGAACAGCTATTTAATTTAATAGCAATAATACAGTTGCCTCTTTGGGGAAATTTAGTAGCCCTGACATATATTCCAATTGAATGTTTCACCTGGAGTAGCAGTCATGTTACCCACAGCAGGTCCAAAGGGGGAAAAAAAGCATAACTGAAATAAAATAAATACTGCTCTTAGTCAGGTTTATGGGAAAGGAAAAAAAAAGATATGATAAAGGAACAGCCAAAATAAAACAGATTAAAATGTTCAACTCCTATATATATGCTTTTCCTTGATTCTTATGGTTGTAGGCCAAAGGATTATTTTATTGAATACAAAGAAAATATGTACTTTTATAACTGATAATTAGCCAAATATGAAATTGGCAAACAAGTGACAATTCAACGTTTGATTTTCATTAACAAAGAAGAATGATGATAATAATTATAACAACAACAGCCATTTATTTACAGAACACCTGCTAGGAGCCAAGCACTAACTACACTGAGTGCTTTGTAGACTTTTCTACAGCACTAGAGATAATATATTATTTATTTCATCTCGTAGATAAGAGATCAGAAAAGAAGGTAGGCATCTTTGTTAAGAATAATAATACAGACATTCTAATTCTTGTAATATGTAAAAAAAAATCATTTAAATGTAGTTGACAAGAGACTTTTTCCATTTAAATTATTACTAAAATAGTTAAATATCAATTTCATCTTGTCATTTTTGCAATAAAAACACATTGGTTGACATCACAAATTAAAATGTGTTGCATTAGAATCTGAGTAGACGACTTTTTCTTAACGGAAAGAAAGAACAGATTACAGTCCAACCTAACTTGATCCAGTTTTTCTTATGAACTTACAGAAGGATGAGAAGAGATGGAATGAAGTCTGAAGAAAAAACGCACATACATCTCACGGAATATCTGATACAATTTGGAAGGTTCATGGTATAGAAAACAAAGTGGTGCAACTGAAAGAAAAAAATAATTTATAATACTGCAGAACTACTAAAATTTTAAGATAAATTTATAAAATATGACATTATAAATCACTATTTTATAGTAATCATATACACTCATAGACAAGTTTAAAATCATACTACTTTTTTTCATTTTGAGAGGGGAATATATGCACATGTAAAGTTCAAACAGCCATTAAATATTATAAAGAAAGGAGTATATTACAAACTATTATAATCCCAATTTAACAGATGGCTAAGAATGACATTATGGAATTATACAGAAATATGAAAAATTCCACATAACTTATAAAAACTACATAAATCAAATCTCTCATTTTTTAAATTGAAGTAATAAGAAAGTAACAACCAGGCAGCTTATGTTCACTTTCTCTCACAAAGGATTCAGGCCACATTTCAAAATTTTTAATTTTGGAAGTCAGGTAAGTAAAATAGATGATTTATGACTTTTAGAATCATGGTCTTCAATTAATTCAATTTGAAAATAAAGATTTTTGAGTAATAGCTGTACACTACTGGTCTTTATCGCTACATCCCCATATATATTCATCAACTGAAAACAATCTGTAGGCAGAAAGGATTTATTTCTCTAATGAATGTTGAATTGATTGCCCCCAGTCTGTAGCAATTACGCACAGCTGGGTCAACACAACCAGACATCCCACAGCTGAATGTCAGAAAGTCCTAATCTTCGATTGGAGACCTACCTGAGGATGTGATTATTCTACACTGACAAAGGTGGTCATGCTTTCCATCTTTTCAAGCCTCAAGTATTTTAGGCAGCATACAAAAAAATTTATAATGCGGATAGGTACAACTGCATTACTTAAATATTAATTTTAATAAAAAATGCCTTACAGGGTAATTTCAAACAATATATATTGGACAAGTAAGAATTTCTGGGGCTCTGTAACCTGTTGGTAATGCTCTGAGGGCAGTAAGCACTAAGTAAGCAAGGAAATCAGTGGGCCAGTTGAGCTCTCTTCTTTTTGACAAAGTAAAAGGAAAAATAGTAAAATATTTTAAATTCTTTCAAACACAAAAGTTCAATTTTCTGGGATAAAGGGCAATGCACAGTATTACTGATAAATAAGTCATTAAAAATTAGCATTGCAAGTGAGAATTTTTATTTTTTCTGAAGGCAAAAGAGAAATCACTTTTGGGGGTAAATATCTAAATTCATACAAAAATAAATACTTGTATATATATAGAAAAATGTATATACAATATATATTATATATAAAAATTTTAAAAGACAGGTATGTCTATTTCAAGACAAATTTTAAAACTTATTTTATTATTAAATAAATTGCTACTTATAAAAATAGCCCAAATTAGGATATTTCATGTATTTACAAATAGTAACTCATGCTCTCATTGCAATAACAACCTAAGAAACAACAGTGTGGTACAAATATATATGCTATTATTATAAATCTAAGATGAAGGTTTGGAACTTCTTTATTTTAAAAAAATGATGCAAATTTTTTCCTCCAATTTTTAAATATTGATATGTGAAAACCTATAACCTGAATCTGAAGATGTTATGGATTCAGTAATTATTAATAAAAATTTCCAGTGAAGAAATGAAAAGAGAATCTTAAAATAAGCACTTTTATATGAATATACACAATATAAAAGAAATTTACAATTAGTTTTTATTCAAGATGCCACAGTTGTTTATGTTGAATTCCTTTATATAGCTATGAAATGGAAAAGCTTTAGTCCATTATAGATTATATGTAAAAAAGATTCTACATGACTTAATTTTTAATTTTAAACATCCTTCCCTATTTGGTTCTTCCATAAAAATAAATTTAGCTAATTATCTTTTAAACCAATTAAAGACTATACTGTAGGAATTTATGACACCATAATATACTATACACCTACAATAAAACTTCATTAATCTGCATAAATAGAAGAGCAGAAGGTATTTAAAATTACAGAAGAATTCTGAGTAAATTTTTAAATAAATTACTATCTTTTTGGTTTCCTTTTTAATGACAGCCTATCATTAAAGATCTGTATCAATGTTTAAAAGAGGTAAGTATTATAATTTTAAAGAAATATAGTAACTAAAACTGAAATGGCAAATACTAACTAGAGTTCCTTAGGGATGATTTGTGATTATTTTTGTATACTGGTTCTAAATAAGTGGTTGCTGGTAAAGTTTTTGTGGATGCTGAAAATAGTTTTCTAAAATAGTATAAATAAATTCTATATCAAACATTTTGCATCATTGTCAGCAAATGCTTTCCCCTTGGGTGTATAAACTGTAGCCTATTTAAATGATCATAAATGTGAATAGGCAGAGGCTGAGTCAATGATATATTTTAAACACCAGAAGATCTTTCTAAAATATTTAAACTTTCATGACATCAAGTATCCTCCAAATCATTCAAGTACAACTTCCAAAAATGATTTACTTGAAAAATTTTTGTAGTTGGAACTACTAAAGTAGAAAGATAAAAAGGTGAACATTTTTATTATTAGATGTAGAAGTTTATATTATTAATCTTTTTTGGTTTTCTATTTTAAATTCCTCACATTTATAAGAGAAATATGCTGTGAGGTCACTATAACATTACGTATTATGTTATGAAATTGTGGTTGCCCAAGAGAATAAAGCTGAGTACCCTATAATTCAAGCCTGTCACTAACACCAAGTATAGCATAAAGTCCCTAGGTACTTTGACTCTTTTTCATTGAATGATAGTGTTATGTCATTCACCACGACCATCTGATGTTGAACACTGATGTTTACAAAGAAAAATGTTTACTGAAGATTCTTGGTACAAAGGCGAAACATTAATGTATTTCTGTTCATTCTAAAGGTAGGGGTAGAAATAAAGGGGACAACAATCTTTAATAAGTTTATATGTAACACTTAAAAACTTAAAAATTAAGTGGCATTAAGGTGTAGAGAGTTCTTGCTTTTGCTAATCTTCATAAGCTTCTTGCATTCCTCATTTAATGACACATGAGGCCTTGGAGGCACTCAGAGCTCTCAAGCCTGCACATGCATCTCCCACATGCACCTCAGGTAACTGAATGCTCTGATGTAATTGTTGCTGTGCATATCAGTAGCCTGGAGAAATCATGAGCTCAAACTCAGTGTTGTCCCTTCCTTAGCATTCTTTCTGACCTATTATTTTTAAAAAACTCTTAAGAGAATTACTTTAGGAATTTAAGCAATCTGATTTTACACCTACTAGAGCTAAATATTAACGTGTATCTCTAGTTTCCATTGGACTAAAAAATGGTAAACCACAGGACCATTTTCACAGTATACTCTAATTCTAATCTGTCAAGCAATCACCACCTAACCAATTACGGTGACCTCTTACTTTTAACATTTTTAAATTGGACATATAAAAATACTAAACTCAACATTTTATTTTATTTTTTAGATAGGGTCTCGCTATGTTGACCAGGCTGGTCTTGAACTCCTGGCCTCAAGTGATCCTCTCATCTAGGCCTCCCAAAATGCTGGGATTACAAGCATGAGCCAACACACCTGGCCTACTAAACTCAACATTTTAAAATGTTCATAATAACTTGTGGGTGATCTCCTTAACGTGTAATAAAAACAGTAATTTTTAAAAATTAAGCCCCTATGGGAAACCAGCATGTATTTCACTTTATTCTTTCCTTTATAGTCTTATTATAGTAAAAATAATTATATCTGTCAGTCATTATTTTTTAAATTGACAGATAACACTGTATGTTTTTATGGTGTACATTATGATGTTTTTAAAGCCCAACTTACCATACATTGAAAATCCATGAAAAGGGATAACACCTAAAAAAAAAAAAAGTATTTCTTTTTCAATAAGTAGTAGGCCTACTGATTATTAGGTAAGCTTTAAAGGATTAAAACTGAAACTATAAAGGTTTTCTATTTTTTGCTTCAACTTTGTCCATAAATGTCAGAAAGACTTAGTGATAGTAAACAATAAAAAAATTTTTGATACCTTCGGAAAAGTAAACTAGAGGCTTTAAAACATATATCCAGTTAATATTCTATTGATAATATTGAGAAATCAAAACTGAATATATATGTGTATATATATGTGTATATGTATGTGTGTATATATACACATACGCATACGTACACATACATATACATACACATACATATACATATACACACACACAAAACAACAGGGCAAAAACATAACAAGACAGATCACAGAATTAAGTTTAAGAACTAATTATAATGGTCTCAGAAAGTCAATAGATTATGTCCCTCCTGAAACAACTTCACTGTGTATATTAGAATCAAATATGCTAAAAGATAAGTGAGCTTTTCAAGGCACTTCTTGAAAACATTTGCTTTACAGAAAACACTATGGGTGTTAAGTAAACTAACTGAAAATTAATCATGGGATATGGCTTTAGAAGAGATATTGGCAGAAATATGATACAAATTCAGTATAATCTTTGGCAATAATTATACAGAAGTAAAGTACACATCCTTTTCAAAAAATACTCGAAGCCTAACTTGGTGTGCTAAACATCTTCTCACATTCCAAGTAAAAAATTTGAATTTGTACAGCTTAGTTCAAAACAGAAGTTTTGTAATATATACCACCATATAGCTAACACTACTAAATCAGGTTGCAAACACAGCACAGAAGAAAGCTGCTAAGTTAAATTTTTGAAAAATAATATAGAAATGCTTTATTCATCTGACATGTTCATAGGCAAAAATTTTGTGCTGGCAGGGGCTTTAGAGGTCATACAGAGTGAGTTATAATAAATGATAGTTCAGTCGCAGTTTAAAACATGTCCAGCAATAGCCGAAGCATTAATTACCAATGCAACTCATTACAATTTTGAATGGGTTTAATTCGGAAGGAGCTATTTTCTCAGAGTGAGCCAAACTCTGGCTCCCTGAAATTTCTACTTATTATTCTTAGTTCTGACCACAAAGGTCACACGGAAGAAATCTAATTTATCTTCTATGTGAAAACGTTCAGAAATATTTGAAGACACTACTCTGTCTCCTGCCCCATCACCATCACGATTTCTTGCTCCAAGACTTTATGAGTTTCTTTAATTTTTCCTTAGATAAGGTGGTCTTGAACAGCTTCCCTATTTTATTTTCTTCTGAACAAGTTACAGTTCGGTGCAATCCTTAAAGTGAGGTGACTAAAATCTCTAATCATTTTTCCTCCCTATACACCCAACAGCTAAGACAGTGTACTTGGACAGTTGTTCCTGGACCTCAGTAAAGGGTTATATTTTTATCTCTATTACATTTCTTCTTTGGTGAACCACTCCAGTTAGAGATAATAATCCTGAATTCTTATTTGGTTATCTAATGCACTCTCTAGTTTTCCTGATTCTACAAAACTGAAAAATTTGATAAGTATACATGTCCTCATCAAAAGCAATATAAAAATGCTGAACATGACAGTGTGAAGACTAGAACTACCAGTAGAAACTCCTTTCATATTGATATCAATGCATTATCAGCACCCTATTGCGATAAGGGCATGGACTGGATGTCAGAAAGACTCGGTTGTGTTCATCTGGTTCTGTCACTTAAGAGTGTTTGTGTGTGTGTGTGTGTGTGTGTGTGTGTGTGTATGTGTGTGTGTGTATGTGTGTGTGTGTCTTTGCGTAAGTCTCTTAACTTCTCTAAGCTTTAGTTTCCTCATCTGTAAATCAGAGATAACACTAGAACTCACGTAATATGATTAAATGAGACAACAGTTGTAGCTTAGCCATTAATAAATAGCTTAGGGCCTACACTATTTATTTAAATCGCTTAGGCTATTATTTATTAATAAACAAATGTTAATTGTTGATGTTATCATTTACAAGTTAGTTCATACTTCTTTGTTATTTCTAGAAGCAATTTTATCAAAAATAGTATGAGAAGCACCAAATTATTCTGAACTGGTACGCCAGGCCAACCATGTGCAGAATTTTGTGCAGCACTGCTTTAAGCTCACAAGTTAAAATTCTCAGGATCGACATTTTCTCTAGTCTTCTAGCACACAGATTCATGTTCTCCAACTTCTGCTGAATCTTATGTTGTGTATCAGTTTTCTTATTCCTCTCTATATGATTAGCCATCCCATTCTTTCAAAATTTCCTCCCTTTTCAAGTGTTTAACACTTAATTGTAGACTTCACTTTCTCCTCACTAGGAGGCTGACGCCACTGACATGGACTCCTTCCTTTGTCTATTCTTCATATTTCATCTGTTTTCTCACTTACAGTCCAGAGGAGGATGTATACATTTTCTTTTTCACCCAACATCTTCATCTGTGCTCTAAATCTTGTTTCCTTGACTTTCACAGTGACTGGCAAGCAGCGGTCAGGTTTGCAGCTTGTTTATGTGTGGCCTGTCAGCTAAGAATGGCTTTTACATATTGTAAAGGATTATTTCAAAAACAACAAAGAATAATATGGGACACGGACTGCTTGTGGCCAGCAAAATGTGACATATTTACCATCTGAGTGGTTAAAGGAAAAGTCTGCCAAACCCTGCTTTGGACTCCTGCCCCATCAACCGTCCCTTCCTCCTTGCTGCACGTGCATCATTCCACACGCATGTGCTGTGTCCCTGCGATGTGCCAGACACTGTTCTAAGAACTGTAGCTGCCATTTTATCAGGGACAAAACCACCATAATAAAAACAAGTGAATATATGTCAGATAGTCATAAGTGCTATGAAGAAAAATAATGGAGAGAAGGAGGACAAGGCCAGGCTAGGGCGGAGGAGGACTTACTGATAAAAGAGGCCTGAAGCTGTGGAGGTGAGAATCACCTGATAAGGGTGACCTGGAAGCCGTAGCTTCATGTGATGATTGTCATAAACAGGGTTACCTTTACTGAGGACAGCTGGTCTTCAGCTGGATAGTGGTGGGATCTGCTCTTTACTCCTCTAACGAAGCAGAGTAGAGGCAAGGGGTGGGTGTATCTTATCAAAGTAATCATATCCTTAGTCTTCCCTATTTCACTGCATCCTTTCAGCCAGGGATGTTACAAATATTCTTATACATAATAATAAGAAGAAATAAGAAAGAAGAAGAAAAAATAGGAAGGAAGGAAGAAGGAAGAAGTAGTAGTCAATTTTTTCCCCAGATCCTACTTTCCCATCAAACAAATCTCTAATCTCACTCATTTTCTTGAAGCCAGGCTTAATTTTTTTTAAAACTATCTATATTCACCTTCTCTACTTCCTTATTATGTATCTTCAAATGCTTGCAAATGGTTTCCCATCCCTACGGATGTAACTTCTGATTGCTAAATCCAGGGGTTTCCCTTCTTTGTATGTTGTACTTAATGGCCTCACACTCAAACTTGGGTCTACCATTGCATTGATGACACTAAGCAGATCAGGCTTCTTGTCCCACAGAAAATTTTGCTGCTCAGTTTTTTGTGAGTGTTTGTTTTGTTTCTGGCAGTCCTCTCTTCTGTGCACTCCTTCGATATAGCTCCAAGACTCTATATACTTGTTTTCTCTCTCGCTTTACCAGTATTCTCATTATCAACCCATAATACTGACTTTAAAAGCCCAGTATCCTCAGGCTCCTTCTGGTCTCTATTTTTGTAAATGACTCACCAACTCCCTAGTCATTCAGGGAAGAAACTTTTGAGTCATTTTTGCTCTCTTGTTCTCCCTTAGCCCTTATACCTAAATGTGATTATGTATCTCTCCTGTCCCTTTTGGATAACCACCACTTAACTCTTCAGTCTTCATTCCTCCTCTGTACCCCACAAGCACTGCTCTAATCTCTCCAAATTGATCGCCACCCCTTCAGCCTCTGGGTGCAGGACAAGGGCTATAGGCAATGTTCTCCTCTACCTCTGGCCCTGTCCCTGCCCTGCTCCTTCACAACTTTAAACAACAATCTTCCTAGAAAGATCTCCCTGATAGCCTTGATCCCTCCCTCCCAAGCAATTCATTAATCAATCCTCATGTTTCAGTTGATTTGCCCTCATTGATTGAGGTACTACTCCGTCTCACTGTGCAATTCTGACTCCAGCACTTTCTACCTGTGTACGCTTAGGTATGTTACTTAACCTGCTTCCTCATCCATAACTGCTTTGTTTTTTTTTTTTTTTTTTGAGACGGAGTCTCGCTCTGTCGCCCAGGCTGGAGTGCAGTGGCACGATCTCGGCTCGCTGCAAGCTCCGCTTCTCGGGTTCACGCCATTCTCCTGGCTCAGCCTCCTGAGTAGCTGGGACTACAGGCACCCGCCACCGTGCCCGGCTAATTTTTTGTATTTTTAATAGAGACGGGGTTTCACTGTGGTCTCGATCTCCTGACCTTGTGATCCGCCCGCCTCGGCCTCCCAAAGTGCTGGGATTACAGGCGTGAGCCACCGCGCCCGGCCATAACTGCTTTTAGACTAAGGCACAGTAGCTTGAGCTGAAGGCTCTGTGACCCCCCTCCGGCTGTACCCCTTACCCAGAGCCCATGTTTCTTCCAGACCACATCCCAGGTACCCAAGACTCTGAAATTCTGAGCCCAAAGGCTCCTAAGACAACTTCCAGGGCCTGCATGTTCTCTTTGGTGGGGTAGAGAAGAGAAGAGAAGGTATACACCTCCTGATAAATGTGTATACCTCGGGACAGAGAGGTGGCCAAAGGCTGGCTATTTGTGGAAGCTGTGAACAGAGGTTGGACCTACAGGCTTCTGTCCATGAAGCCTGTCCAAGGTGTGAAGTGGAGCCACAGATGAGAAGTGGGTGGGGATACCACAGGCTAGGGATGGATGAAGAGTCGGAAAATTCTGAATTCAAACCTCGCCTTCCAGATTGTTATCAAAGTATATGTGTCA